GGGAGATTCTAGTGCCGTTGTACGTTACTACTCCGTCGGTACGAAATGTATATCGCGCATTATGATCATTGATCGCTATGCGTATTGGCGGGACGCCCACCGCCACGCAGAGGCCGTCCCTCGGGGTGGATGCGGGAGCATGCACAACGACTCCCAAGACGCTCCTCTGTGCGGCCGCAAGCGTCAGCCAATCTTTAGCATCGCACAAATCGCTCCATGCCGGGGATGCGTAAGCAATTACCGGCAGGAAGCACCCCCTATATAGGGTTAGACAGGTATGATAAGCAAGTCTCCAACGCATTCGCGACCGGCGTCTTATTTTGTGGAATACCTTTTCCGCTTGCGCGCGTCGTTTATAAATATGCATGGAAATGTTAAGGTCTCTGCCGAACCAGACCCCCAGGTACCTAACCATTTCTGGGTACTTTATTCGGTTACCCTCTAAAGTAATCTTAAGCCGTTTACATTCATGCCTGTCTTTCTTTCTTCTGAGGTGTGATTTATATTCTCGGTAGTTGAGATTGTTTCTATCCCTGTAATTCCTCTTGCCTCTAAGTTTTATTTCTCTTTTCATAAAGATTGCCTCCGTCTTCGTTTTTGATAGCTCAAGCTTGGCATCTTTGCACCAAGTGAGTATTGTATCAATGACTGCCTCTCCGTTGACTCCAAGGGTTTCCCTAGAGTTGCCATATATAATGACAATTAAATCGTCGGCGTACGCTGCATAGCGTTTTCCATGTTCAGATTGATCAAGTATTTCAACAGATCATCAGACATAATGCTTCAGCACAGTGGGCTAAGCACAGATCCCTGAGAGCATCCACGAGTGGCTACTTTTGTGACTGAGCCGGTTCCCCATGTTAGGCTAGCCGTACTATCTGTAAAGTATTTTTGCATTACTTTGTAGATCTTTTTAGGGCAGTTTCGTAACTGTAGTCCTTCAAGGACTAAGGGCCACCATACATTGTCAATCGCGCCTGAGATATCGAAGAGCAATGCAACCACGTTACGTTCCGTGGACTCTTGCACCGCTCGTCGCACCGTCAGTATCGAATCCACTTCGTTTATCGCCCTTCCATAAATCCATATTGATGATCTGAAAAGTTTCCTTGTTTAAGGACGCTAGTTAAAAGACGGAGTTTTATAAGTCTTCCGAAGATTTTGCCTAGTACTGATAAAAGGCATATAGGGTGGTTTGATTTAAGGTCCGCTACATCTTTGTCGGGACTCTTTAGGAGCATACGAATTGTTCCCTACTTCCAAGCCCGAGGAAAGACACTTTGAGTCAAGTATTTGTTGAATAGTGCCAGAAATCTTTCTGGGAGGTACGCGATTGCACGTTTAACGACCTCTACTTCCAGCAGGTCTAGTCCTGGAGCTTTTCCATTCTTAAGTGTTCGGACGACTTGCTTGAGTTTTTTTTTTGTTCAACGGTTGTGCATCGTCTGTGTTGGGTAGGTTGAGAGCGTTTATCTTTATCCTGCTCTGCTCATCTGTGTCCTTTCCCGGGTGGTCATCAACTACATGTACTGCCAGCAATCGCTCGGCTGTTTCCTTGAAGTCTAGGGTCTCACCTTCCTCTTTAGTGCGGAGCGCATTCATAACTTTTTCGGCTCGAATCTTGTCGGCCGCAAGCTTGTATACCATACCCCATTTCTCTTCGTTTCCGTGGGTTGTAATGAAATTCTTCCAGCTTTCTGTCTTCGCTTTTTTAATTTCTTTGGAGTACTTTCTTACCTGTTGGCGGTATCGAAGTCTCGCTGTCGTAATTCGATGGGTATCTGCACCAAACTTTTTCGTACGTTGGAATCTATGGAGCAGTCTATATACACTGCGCTCTAGGCGCGGCATGGATTTTTCGCAAATATCCGTTAATTCATCTGCGAGAGTGTCAGCGAATTCGTCAATTTTCACCGGAGAGTCCAGCAATGGTCTAGCGGAAAGTGTGCTCTCTAGCTCGGGTATCAACTTACCGAAGGCTTTCCAATCGGCTGCTTTGACATTGAACCGTCGGGTTGCCTCTGTGTAAGTTTCACCCTGCACTCCACGTTGACCAAGCCGGATTCCAATGGCTATGAGATCTGACACCTGAACCTTCTCTCTTTCAACTGACCATTTGCTAAGGGTCTGTGACAGTCCCTGAGTAGCTACGGTCACGTCTATGTACGATTCTCCTCTTGGGGAGCTGTATGTGGGACCTTCTTCGATTCTGTTGAGAACTTTCAGACTGAATTCGGTAAAGAAATTTGCAAGCTTTTCTTCTCTGGTGTCGAAGTCCGGTGACCACAGAGGATATCGGGCGTTCGCATCCATACAGATAAGAACTTGCTTGCCTTTAAGAATCATCAAGACCTTTGGTAAGTGTTCGGTGTGAACTTCGATTGGATCCTTGAACTAGCAGTAATGTGGAATAGCGTTAAACGAATAACCCAGCCCTTTAATGAGAGCACATGTACAGTGTCCAGTACTAAGCTCATCGATATAGAGCATCTCAAGAAGAGGGTTAACTACGACATTAGCCGATTTGGGGTTTTCCCGTTTATGGGTTTTTGAAGCGACTAGGGCTTGGCCAAATCTTCTAACTGCGTAGCCTTGTGAATGAGCGTTCGTGATTTAGTTGTAAAAGACGGAGCTCGTCCGTTCTTCTGGTGACGGCATTCCTTGTGGTACCCCTGGGTGGCGCCTGACCACTTGGAGTCGGGACGGAACTAACACCGTCTCGGGGTTTGCATGCCGTGATGTTATGGTCAGATCCGGTTACCTTGTAGTACTTTAGTTGACAGTTATTATCATAATCCAGAGACTCAGGAAAAAATTGTATTTTAATTCCATGGTTGTTATTGGCATGGTTGTACAATATGCTATCTCGTAAACAGAGATCAACAACTTCGTACAGACAAAACATTTGATAAACGCTTAGAATTAACGAGGGCTACTTCAAACCGACCACGTTCAACAAGGTATACTCTTATTGAGTAGCAGGAATGTAACTTTCGGCAGTTTTAAAAAAGTAATCCTAGTTTAGAAATATCCATTAATTCTCACCCCTTATTACAAAATACACCTCTTAAACCGAGTGATGCTTTCTTTGGTGGGCGTACATAAAATTTTGTATCATTACACAGTGCTAATGGATCCAAAAAAGTAAAATATGTTGATGTATGTGTACTCTACCCTTACGTGTGCAGAACAGGTAAATTTTCCGTTGGACACCCTACAATACGTCTGCATTGAATGTGATGGAATTGTTCAAAATAAGAATAATTTTGATCAGATTAAAGGGCTTGTAAAATGTACTATTTCACCACCCCGAGACCTTTTATATCCTGTTGTACCGGCAAGATTTTACGGTAAACTCTTATTTGTATTATGCAGAACATGTGCTAAAACAATGAATCGGGGTAACTGATGTCATAATCATATAGTCGACCGTGTATTACATGGTACATTGGTCATTGATAAAATACGCAAAGCCATAGAAAAAAAGCTGTAAAGTTTTATATGTATCATGTGGAAATATGGGATGATTCAATATAACCGTGGAAAAGACGTTCGAGATCTTTTTACTGATGATATTAACACCTTATTAAAAATTAAACAACAAGCAAGTGGCTGGCGAAAACAATGTAGAAATCCTACTGACCAAAATTATATCCAGAAAATTATAAAAAAGCTGAAGGCATTAAATTAGAAAGGGAAAAAATAATACATAATCCCGATTTGCGATCAGTTGCAAAATTATTTCTAAATTTATTGTGGGGTAAATTTGAGCAACGTGAAAATTTTACCCAAACTGAAATAGTAAATAATCATGTTAAGCTTATGGAATTACTGACAAATCCTGAGATCGATATCACAAGTTTATACTGCGTTAATAATGATATTTTGTAAGTGTCATACGTACAGAAAAAAGAAGCTCTCGAGGCACACCCTACTACAAATGTTGTCGTAGCAGCTTACGCAACAGCCCAAGCCCAGTTGAAGTTATATCCTTATCTAGAAAATTAGGCGCTCGCGCTTTGTATTGTGATACTAACTCTGTTATTATATCCCTAATAAAAATAGTACAGATTTTGAAACAGCTATCTTGGTGATTTAACTGATGAGCTAGAGAGCTAAGGTACAGGCAGTTACATAAAATCTTTTATTTCTGGTGGCCCGAAATTTCATGCATACATCGTACAAAAGCCTGGTGGTTCGACATCTAAAGTATATAAATCAAAAGGTGTAACCCTGAATCATACAAATAGAAATTATATTAATTATGAAACAATACGCTCGTTGATTTGACTTCGGCGACCATCTTGGGACTAGATCGATAACCAATCGACCTTATAATCAATCATTTTCAATCTAGACACTCATTTGACTAATTTTCGGTGTCCTCTTCGGCTAATGAAGTTTCTGTCACCATTATTTTTCCGTTCTTGTCCCCGTTAACAAGACATTCTAAATCATTTAATCTAAATCTAATTTTCTTGAGGCAATCTGTGAAGTTTGTGATATCTAAAGTAACAGAAATCATTCAGCTATTTATCTAAAACGGAAATTAAATAATATTTCTAGACATTTCCTAGTAAATTCAAGTAATCAAATTCAAATCCATTTTCCATTGCATGATAAGCTAATGCCACGTGCACAATCATAATCTTGCTTGACTTGAGAAGCGTGTTGAGCTCGTGTTGGAGGTCAATAATACTGAACGCACCAAGTTGAGCTAATTTTTTAGTCATTTAATTATCATTCAGTGATTCTTAATTAAAATTCTGTCATTATTAAGTAACGTGTAGGTGACAGCCATTCAGTTTTAGTGACTACGATTTGAGAGTGTGTAATTATCGTTTATTGGTACTAGCATCATGGTGGCGCGCGCTTCGCACGCGCTCTGCCATCATTTATAAGAACTTTGCAAAACATATTTTGAATAGTGTAAGTTCTAAAAAAAATTTATATCGAAGTGTATGATTGAAAGTTATAATTTCATATTTATAATTAATAGATCATTGATATAATTCTGTGAATACGTAATTTTTGACAAAATTATTTAGTCTTTGATCATTCAGGTAAACTTGAAGTGAATCCCAGGATCGGACTCTTGAAAGTGCCACATATAATTGACCATGACTAAAAATATTTTTGGTTGAATCAATACCAATTTTATTGAATGTTGGACCTTGAGCTTTATTTATTGTCATAGCAAATGCTAATGTAACGGGAAATTGTCGTCTTTTAAATGTGAAAGGGTAGATATTTTCGCAGTATAGAGTAATGCGATTAATAAATACAATTTCTCCCACTTTGTCACCATTTAATATTTTGCATTTTAAAAGATTAGTTTTAAGTTCTAAAAGGAGTAATCTTGTACCATTGCATAAACCTTCACTAACGTTAAGATTTCTGATCACCATTAGTATAGTATTTACTCGAAATTGAAGTTCATGAGGAGGAAAGTTAGGTGGATTTAAGGTATTCAAATATTCTGGTAATATAGCATCGTTAATTCCTTCGTTGTCACAATTTTCTGTACTGTCGACACTTGTATATATTCTTTCGGTATTTACATCTAATAATCTAATTATTTCTTTATTAATTCTGTCAACGTCAATATGTCGCGCTGTAAGAACTGCACGATTAGATAGTTCGTTGAATTCATGTCTATCAATTATGGAGCCATATATATTATCTACAATATTAATGTTATTAGATGCGATACATCGATCTGGAATACAAAAGTTATCATTTAAATCATTCAAAGTTCCGTTACCTACGTCTAATAAGAATTGAATCAATTCAATTTCATTTGGTTGTGCACGCATATTTTGTATTAGTGAGAATTTATGGAAATTATGCCAGAGAGGACTAAATTTTATTGATAAGTTAATTAACTCATTTCGAGTAGAATTTTTTTTTACTGGAAGTAGTTGTCGAAAATCTCCACCTAAAATCATTATTTTCCCACCAAACGGGGAATCTTCGTTTGTAATGTCACGCAATGTTCGATCTATTACTTCCAAAACATATCTAGGAGCCATAGGAGCTTCATCCCATATGAAAGCATCAATATTTTTGAGATACTGGCCTTGCTTTGAATTTGGTTTTATATTTGAGCTAGAATCTTCATGTATAGGGACAGGTAAACTAAATGTTTCATGTGTGGTTTTTCCATTAGGTAATAATGTAGCTGCAATTCCTGTATAAGCCATTGTACATACGTTTTTATTGGTACTGCGAAGTAAATAACATAAAGTTGTATAAATATATGTTTTTCCAGATCCTCCTGGTCCATCTATATATATACAATTAGGTTTATTATTATTTTTATTTTCTGCAATATCTATGATGAAATCGACAATTTCTTTTTGTTTTTCATTTAATTTGTCATATTGTTCTTTACCTTTCTCATATGCTGTTTCTACTGGTAGTTGATCATCTATTTCTTCTATTTCTGTAATTGGTGGCATGTTTGGAAGATTTGATAGATTGAAATTTTCTTTATCGAGATGAGAAATAATTGAATTATAGGCTTTTTGTATTCCAATTACTTTTCCGAAATTATGTATATAATCTTCAGACATGGGTTCTTTAAATTGTTCTCAAAGTTCTTCTGGATGAAGTGGATTACAATGCATTATTATACGTACATATAAATCGCGTAATTGTCGAGGCATCATCCATATTTCCGCTTCATGTAGAACTCGTTTCCATTCATCATCGTCTTCAATAAGACCTAAAGCTAAACATGCATCTGTGAAAGTATCGTATACATTACCATTAACAGTTTTTAAATCGTCATAACTAATTGCTCCTTTTACGGTGGTTAAAAGTAATCGAAGATGGAATAATTCAATTTTAGTTGGGCTAACTGAGTACATTCTACCAATAACAGTGAATTTTTTTTGACGTCTTTCCCATTTTTTGATATTGGTATTTCCTTGTTTCTTAAAAACATAGTAACTCGGAATTTGTACATATAAATATTGTTTAGCTTGTGGATCACGTGCATTTAGTGCAAAATAACCTATGAGCATTGAATCTTTTTGTAAAGCATCCATAACTTGCTGTTGAGTTGGATTAGCAGTAATTGTAAGAGTATGTTGATTAGGTAAATGTACCGGTAATCGTGTAATAGCATGACTTTTATTTTGTAGTGGTTTTGATAGTATCCTCCAAATTGCCTCAACTGGACCAACATAGCGACTGTCGATATGGTCAGTTATTTCATCATGATTTATTACATTTGAATTATTGTTATTTGTTTGAGATGCATTTAAATTTGATGTAGTACCAGTAACAGTAATTACCACTCGATCATGACCTTTATATACATATTTATATAGATATTTAACAGATTTTATGCTGGAAACAGCTTCGCCATTAATATGAGCGTTAAACATTTTCAATAGAACATTATTATATGGAACAACATGTTGATTAGTGAAAATATCTCTATTACGTCGTGTGAATGTTATAGTAGAATTTCTACGACGATATTGAGGATAACCGTCTGCATCCATAGTTGTTTCGTTGCAAAAATCTTTCGGATAGTGTTTTGAACATTTGTTGTTTACTAAACACCAAGCCCCACATGGACCATGAAGCATATTTTTAGTAACAATCTCATATAATGTGGGATCTTCGGTTTGAATCGGAAGTTCAGCACAGATATATCGATCAACTATGTTAGGAGTAGTTATTTTGTAATTATGGTGTAATGTAAGTAACATATGAATATGGGGTAATCTACGTTTCTGAAATTCAACGACATATATATATGCTGAAACTTCTCCAAAGAGTTTTTTATTGAGTATATAATCAATTAGTTTATCTTTTTTATATTAAATACTCGTGCAACAATATCTGGCCTGTCTGATGGCGTTTGATTGGGTAAGAGGTTCTCTTTAATTTCATGCCAATTGGGATTGCATGTCATTGTAATGAAAAGATCTGGTTTTCCATATTTTCGAACTATTGCCATAGCGTCCTGATAATTTTGTAACATATTTCGAGGTGAACCAATAAATGATGATAGAAGTATAAATACTTTTCCAATATTACTACCATCATTATTTGCTTGATGATGTAGATAATCTAATAAACCTTCATAAGTTTCGGAACGAATTTGTTTCTGATTGTATCTAAAAAAGTTCATTCTATCTTTTTCTACTTTAACATAAGCGTCAACTATCCACTGTTGAAATAATCGACGACCCATTGAAAAAATATTAAATCCATCTCTAATAGCTATTTGATATTTATAATAATCATTTCGAGTTACTTTCCCATTTGCTTGATGATAAGGGATATCTTTATACCAACCTTGAGTACCAAATGGATAAAATAATGGATAAACCCATGTTTCTACATTAGGGTCCATAGTATTTATATGCTTTAATGTTTTAGTTGATTTATTTATAATAGAAACATAGAATTCTGGTATGTCTCCATTAGCATTCGTTGAAAAGATAGCAGCTACTTCATTTTCTCTTTGAAGATTATAACGTCTTCGATCTACACCGGGTTTCAATGTAGATGATAAATGTAATTCAGGTTCGATATTGTTGTTTTTTCTTTTCTCATTTTCAATTACTTCTTTCATCATTAGATAAGATTTAGCAAATGCATTATATTGTCTCATCAAAGAATCTAATAGTTCAAAAATTTCAATATCACATTGTACGTTATTTTGTAATCGAAATTGAACTGCTTGCTGTTCATCATAAATAAACAGTTGACCAAATGCAGGAGTTGTACTTGAATCTGGATATAATGCTGTGTTAATTTGATAGTAAACTTGTCCTTGTATTTTAAAACAATACGGACCACTACGTTGATTATTAAAATTGATTAGATTAGCATTAAATGAAGCAAAGGAGTGAGAATTATTGAACTGACGAATACATTGAAAAAAATTAGTTGATTTTGGATGATTACCTTCAAACAATGATTGTAGTAATGTTGGGGTGGTTGGTAGAGGTTCAAGTTTTACTTTACCATGATGACAACAGTCATTAAAAGAATTCTTTTTATTGGTAACTCTTTCATCAGGAAAATGTTTCGCATTATAATGAATACAAATGATATCCATCTTTCCGATGTAATTTTCTTCAATATTACGTATAATAGTATAGAAATAGGATGAATCGTATACATTTGACAAACTGTTATTATTGGCTGCAGTAGAAACAGATTGAGTTGTTATTATGTTATTATCATTGGTATTGTTGTTAATTACTTGATTAGTTTCATCTGTCAAATTTACTAATGGTAGAGCATCATGAGAATATAATGTATGATTATTTTGTATAAAATCATTACTATTATTTTCATTATCATTATTATCATCATCATTACTAATGTTATTATTACTATTATTACAATTATTATTAATATTACTATGATTGTTAGGTGTTAAAGTAGTCTCAAGAGTTAAATCTATAAGTGGTTCAGTATTATTCCAAGATACATCATAAGAATGATCCAGTAATACATGATTAACAGTTTCTGGCAAAGATGCATTGTACGAATGATCAAGAGATAAAGAATGAGAATAAAAATTGTGTGAAGATGATGTATCAAAGACAGTTTGTTGGAGCATACGCTTTTGATGATATTTTTTCCTTCGTTTTTCGCATTGAAGTCGTTTATGTTCCACTTCTTCTTCAGGGGTACGATATATTTTTCTACGTGGCATTTTATAAATAGAACAAATACCAAATATAGACTAATAATTAATTAATAACTATAATCTAATGGATAGAAATTTATTATGTAAAGAAAAAGTTTGGTTTATTTCAATATTTCTATAGAAAAGAATAGATGGAATTGTGCAAGAGTCTTTAAAGATACAATATTTGGATTTGTATAAAGAATTCAATTAATCGGAAATAATAAAAATTGTGAGTGTTTATTTAGTCCTGCTCCATCAATTTGTACAATTTCGCGATTATTTAAAAGTTTTATATGATTTTTATTATGTTTTTATTTTAATTTTGATATAAATTTTCAAAACACACCGATAAGTCTGCAGATATTTCTTAAATTTCCAAAAAATGTATATATTTTCTATATTTCTAAGTTCTTTAAATTTTTTAATAATAAAGTTCTATTTTAGTTTTATTTCCAAGATTTCGAGTATATTTTTAAATTTTTGTTGATGTGTCTGGAACCCTGTAAAAAAAGATCCATTATTTTCATAGCCATCCATATTCAAGTGAATATAATTAAATACTTGAAACAAATTTTGAAATAAAATTAAGCCATAATTTAAAAATACGTGATGATATCGTAATAATAATTTGTTAAAAAATCTGTAAGAAATTATTGATGAATAATGTAAACAGATTAAGAAATTTTCAATCAATGGTATTTCAATCAACTTAAGATCAAATAAAATTTAGTGATTAATATTTTATTATCTTATGAAATTAAAAAATAAAAAATTGTATCAAGTATTGCTTTATTTGAAAATTCGTAAAAAAAATATTTACCAAAAAAATAAATTGCAAATGCCTATGGTCCTTGTCTTCGGTGTAATTGATGATGTTTTGATTTATGTTTCAATATTTTTTAATTGAATTACGTCTGTGAAGAAATTTTTAGATAAGTACAATTAAAATATTTGATAAAGTTTACTTGGATCGAATGACATTCTATCTGACCTTTTATTATGCATAATTTTTGAGTTAATGTATTGTATGTATTAATTTTAATTACACAATTAATATGACAGATGGTATTTAAAAATTATTAATAACCATACAAACGAATTAATAAAATCTCAATTGATAATTTTTGAGAAACCTAAGATTAAATAAATTAATTTATTGTATATGCTATTGAAAAAAAGGATCAAGAATTTCCATCTGAAATATAAATGGAAAAATACTTACACATGAAATAAACGGTGATTATCGATTTTACTTGAATTGAAGCTGATTTAATGATGAAATCCATAAGAGAATTATTGATTAAACATTAATCATACATTAGAAAAAGTTTATGAAGATTTAATGATACAATCATATTAAATGGCATTCAATCTAACCTCATAATATAAATTTTTTATTTTTACCTGTACTGTGCATTAGTATTCACCAATCTGTTGGGTGATTCTAAAATTTATGATGTGTACAATAAAATCAGGAAACTCTTATTGTTAATGATATTAGTAATATTTATTGCTCTTTTTGAAAAAGTAATTATTCACATGTATGTCACTGGACGGAGCAAATGTACTTTTTTTTGCAGAAAAAACATTTGCTGTTATGATGCCAACCTTATTATCGAAATATGATTTTTGGTATGTTGTCATTTTATGTAAAGAACTCTGCTTTATCGTCAATTTTTTTTCAAATATAAAAAATTAAATTTATTTTAAATTATTTTATAAAATTGCATTTTTATTGAGAAATATCTATTTTATAACATGCAATGATTTGAATGAAACACATAAAAATTCGTTTTATAAAGTAAGTAAATATACATTAGTAATTGACATTATTCTCATTAAGTATCATCATTGAGTATTTTAAGCTGACTTATTATTTATTATCTTGTTATTATTTATGTATAGTCTTTTTGAAGTCACATTGGGTGAATCGGACCTAATATAATTCTTGATTTGTCAGTAATTTTTAACTCTATTGGTGCTAATCTGTTAGCTGGATTTACATAAACTTGATTGATCAATAACGCATATGCATGAGTAATATTAATCACCTGCAATTTATAAATGATCGAATTATAAATAAACTATTAAATATTGAATATATTGTAACTATGTATTTATACTGACAGTATTCATGGTGATTTCAGAATGCCATATTAATGCGTGATCATCCCAAAACAAAACTCGAACGCGACGATTAGAACCATTATTCACGATAATTCGATAAAGCTTTTTATTATTTGGTCCAATATTTACGATGCTTTCGATGTTGTCAACGTAACCAACCAAATCACTGTTGATGGTCCACATATAAAAAAAAAAAACAAATATTCATGTGTTTTATTTACATTGATAAAATTATATTTTTGTCTGCAAATTTTATAGAATTGTTACATGTTTCTTTTGTTAAAGATTCAAAAGCAATGAATCAATAAAATTTTAAGACAAAAATGTCCATTATTTTAAAGATAATAACATTCAAAAATATTAACATTGTTAGAATATAAAATACTAACTCACGTGAAAAAATTATGAGCAGAATACGCATCTATTTCTTCATTTGAAGTAAAATTCATTTTGATAGAAATAACCAAACAAAAAAAATCAAACCACGTGATACGTCCACACTCAATGAAATCTCGTGCAAAGATGAAAGATTCAACAGGTCTGGCATGTTAATAGACGCAATAATTACAATTTGATGTTACCGACCGGACATATCGAATTTTTTTTTTAATGTACTTTGCTTTATTCTTAGTTTATTGTCAAGCATAAAATTTAATTTAATCTTTATGTATTACACACGTAGAATTTTTATTAAGAAAAATATGTTTTACAATGAATATTTATATCATAAATATTTGCATTTAGTTTAAATATTATTACATTTTTATAATCATTTATATTTTAATTACTTGTTAATTATTATTATAAGTATTCTAGTCTTATTATTTGTCACATGTTACTTCTTCTTATTTTTTAGTAATCTAGTAATTAGTTAGTTTAGAATACTGCAAGAATACTGTCATTGTTACTTATAATAATATATAACCGCAATCTTTTCTTTAAAAAAAAATAGTTTTTTTAATTGTTTTCTGTTTTTTTGCGTCATCAAGAACAGCTAATGGTGAACGGTATGATCTTTTAGGAGTCCTGAAACCACGAATCTTGTTTTTATCTACAGGATCTTCGTGTATCAGGGTAATATCATTGGAGTCGTTGACCTGGATAAACATATTTCCATCTAAAACAGATTTAAATATAAAATTTATTCTATTTGTAAATTTACAAATAAAATTTTATAAATAATAAAAGAAAGAATCAATTAATCTTACTTTTATCTTCTTTTTTTGATCCGAGAATCTTGACAGTGCTTCCAACTTTAATATTTTTATCTTGATCGAATACCGCAATTTTTATTACAATTTTTGTTATTTCATCAGCAATTAAACCGCAACCATATGATGACCCACCCGCAGTAATATTTTCAAATACTACTTTTACATAGGCTGTAATATCTGTAAAATTTTTTTTGTTGATAACAAAGTACTGTATGACAAATATTGAAAAGAAAAATAATTATAAAACAAATTAACTTACAAAATGCATTTTCAGTTCTATTCTAAAAATCTTGAATTGAAATCTCTTTAATTACCACCGGTGTAGCTGCATTGGCTGAATAAGTTGGACCCAACTTGACTTTCGTGCATTTAACAACAGTTAATTCCATTGGTGCCAAGCCGTCGGATAGGTCTACATACGTTTGATTTACTAATGTCGGACGTCCTCGATTAATATCAATAATCTGAAATTAATTCAAAGTTCTATGTAATTACGAATAGATTTAAATAAATAAAGAAAAAAACATACATATATGAAATAAAAAAATACACTTACAACGTTGCTGGTGATTTGAGAATGCCATTCTAATGCGAAATCCTTCCAGAACAAAACTCGAACGCGACGGTTTGAACCATTGTTAACAATTATTTTGTAGAGTTTTTTTTCCATCTTCCCCACAGGTTTGATGCTGATGATATCATCAACATAGCCGACTAAACGCCTGTAACAACGAAAAAAAAAACAAAAGATTGAAGCGTTTCATTTATCTTGATAAAGTAACATTGTTTTCTTCGAATTTTGTAGTTTCGTTACGAAACAAAATTCAATGAAAAGAATGAAACCTTATCAAGATGAAGAAACGATAGAAAAAGAAAGAATTCTAAGAAAAAAAACTCAACATGAAGTGAAAAAAAGAGATAAAAAATTAAAACAAATATATAATGTACCTGGGACATAAAATGTCCGAATCAGGCGTGCAACCTGATTCCGCTAAAGTTACAGCTATTCCAAGCTTTCCAGTCCCTAAAACACGTGAAGAAATTCAATCATTTTTCAGACTCGCTGGTTACTACAGACATTTTATTGAAAGCTTTACGGATATAGTTAAACCGATGACTACTTTATTAAAGAAAAACGCTAGCTTAAAATAGACGAGCACACAACAAAAATCATTCGAAATAATAAAGAATAAACTTATCGCTGAACCAATTCTCATGTATCCAGACTTCACAAAAGAATTTATCTTCTTTACTAATGCTAGTCATTTGGCAATCGGTGCAGTACTATCTCAAGTACGGAGCGTCACTGAAAAAGATAAAGAAATTCAAACCGACTTACCTATCGCTTGTGCCACTAGAACCCTAAACCAGCGAATACAGACACTTATAGAAGCTTACAGAGGGCATTTAGGCCGTACCCTGAGCACCTTAGTACGAACTCCGACCACAGGTGTCGCAGGGGTGAATTTAAGATAGCTGCCGATGTAACAGGCAGCAGTCGTCGACAAGCAGTCGACCCGAGTGAATGAAGCGGAAGTATATTCCTTTGTTTCAACATATTACAAAAAAAATGGATGTACGATTATTTTTCAGCTTTTTAGCACTTGAATATCAATTAAATAAAAAAAGTACTTTAATTAATGGGCAAGCCACCTTTTTATCATTATTGAAATATAAATTTATGAAATTATATTCATGATGATCCCGTAGCTCAGCGGTAGCACGCTCGGTTATTACTTTTGCCGTCTCGGGTTCGAGTCCAGCTAGATGTATTTTTTTTTTGTTTTTTTAATCATAATTATCTATGAAAAAATTAAATGATTATTAATTAAAACGTAATAAATTAATAATTTATCAATGTATAAACAATATTAATATGAAAGTAGATAGAAAAAAATATATTTTTTTAAATTTTCAATTTTAATAAATCTATTCAATATCGAAGTTAAAAAAAATAGATAATTAGAATTCTACATTTACATATCCTTTCTTAAACTATGAATATTTAAATTTATTTATCTCTAATTATATATTGACATTGTTATTTATAATTCCTCTATTCTAAAAAATTTTTATCTATTTCTTATACATTTTAATTTATTGAATTGTCCGATTCCAAAACTTTAATCAATTAAAAGGTCCCCTGAAAAAGTGATCTGCATTGGTCTCGAAGTAGAAAATTTCTTTATTTTAGAAATAATTGAAAAATCAGCATTCTTTAATCGAATGAATAAATTCTACACCAGTGCGGGCGCTCAACGCGTATTGCACTGTACGCAGTGCTTATACAGTCCTCCTGTGTACACAGTCCATACCTGTGTGACCGCAATAAAATTAATCTGCTATGGTGTAGAATCAATCCACTCGCCCTTAGGCTGCTAGAGTCCACTGTCACTTTTTGAATTTTTAAATTTTTTATTTCCACACCTATGCAGATCCCTATTCCGCAGGACGTCAAAATTTTTAAGCACCAAATACTGACGCTCCAATGTTTTGGAGATTTAAATATCTCTGCTAGACATTTAAATGTCCTTACTAATCTATTACACTTCTACACGATGTCTTATTTTCCATACACATTAATTTAATAAATAATTAGTTTTTAAAGTTTCGATCAATTAATCAATCACATATAAGAACATAGAAATATAACAATTATATAACATTATTCATTCATTAGTGACCTAAATAATTACTCTATTTGTTAGTAAATATTTTTAAACTCCTATTTATAATTGCAAAAAAATAAAAGTTTCTCTAACCCATGTCTATTGACGTGTTCTATAATTCTTTCATACACACCAAAATTTTACAGATTTCATTCATAATTTAATTAACTTTACATTTTTTTTCGTTCTATTATTTCAACATTCTTATACATAAATTATCTATAAAAAGAAAAACCAAAT